GCGAGCCCCCCCCCCCGGCCGGGGGCGTGTGGGGGAGCGGGGATCCCCCCCCCCCCCCCCCCCCCGCCTGGTAGTGGGGTTTTTTTTGTTTGTTTTTTTTTTTAAGAGTTGGGTTTGGGCGGGGCAGCCATTGACGGCGCTGGAGAGTAGGCAGGGAATGGGACCTGTCCAATTTGGAGATTCGGCCAATTCGGCAGCGGTCGAATTTCCGAATTGATTTGGGACACTGATTCGAATCACCAAATCAAATCACTGTCCCCCTCATTGGTTGAATCCGAAGCAAATGCTAGCCACTTTGCATAGGCCTAATAGCTAGGTAGAGCTGGCACTGAATATGCTCTTCTGCACTATCAATCTGGTGTGCTCTCAGGAAACCTTTGTAACTTCTTAAATTCTTTACCCAAACCACCCCCCAAAAATAAAACCTCTTGAGATTAAATTCATTATACAGACTCCTCTCTGCTTGTGAGTAACCTTTTTCTGAAGAAAGAAGATTTGGGTTCACTCTTGCATAGCAAGAGTAACAACTGTGTTGCTGGCCTTAACATCTCTTTCTAATTGTACAACTCAGCAGTGACATGAGAATCTGTTTGTCAATGTAACAGTTCCCCTATCTGTTCAGGAATTATGAAATGAGAGCAGTAACATCCTCACTTGTGTAATGCTTTTACTGCCCGTATTGGCTAATGTCTCATTGTCCTAAAAAGGCATTTCAATTAATAAGTTTCCCCTAAGCAGTTATACTTGTTATAAATGTCTACCTGTATTGATAGGTAATAGGTTTTGTTTGAGGGTTTTTGTGGCTTTGTTTGAAGTTTGTTTTTTTTTAAGTACCACTTCTCTTGGAAATTACCCCTGCTGAAAGGGTAACCCACTACCTTTTGCACAAATTAACTTTAGGAAGGAAAACCATACCACAAACAAGGTGAGTGGCATCTATCTTTAGAAGCAATAGAGAGGATTGTGTCCATCCAGTCTGAAGTTCACTGTAGAACTGCATGGATGTGTGTGCATTCCTTTAGGGGGGAAAAAACCTCCCCTGCATGGATCTGTTTGATCCCAGCAGTGAAAATTCCTTTGCAATTTGAAAGAGGATTTCTAGGTATGCAGGCAAGTCATTGTTCAAACCAGGAGTGGTGACTGTTATGTTGACTTGCAAAGGGAAGTCCCTGTTCTGCAGTACAGTGCACAATGCATCCAGCAGATATGTAACAAAATATTCAAACCATTGTACCAGATCTCTGAACTACTGTGAACAGTTCTAGTTGCCCATCTTCAAATTGGAACAGGAGCAGAGGACTAATTGGAACAGGTGCAGGATGCAGCCTGCCAGGCCATTCTATCTGGCCCGCGGGTCCCCTAAAAATTTAGAAAATCAATATTTATCTGCCCCTGGCTGCCTGCCATGTGGCCCTCAATTTGGCTTGCCAAAACTCAGTAAGCGGCCTTCCACCTGAATTGCCCACCCCGTGTGTTTTACAGCAAGGGAGTGGACTCAGTGACCCAGAAGTTCCCCTCATATTTTGTGTTCTTAAATATAGCATCTGTCCTTATTCAAGCCTATGAAGGTACCAGTTCCTGACACAGAATTAACCCAATTCTGCAAGAACTCATAACCAGGTTGCAAGCTATTTGTAGCCCTACCATCAGCCTCTTGCTATAAACAAAGGTATTGAAATTCTGCGACTAACAGAGGCTTTTGATGTTACTCATTCCAAAATTGAAGAATTTATCATCAAATCTGATGCAGAAATCTTTTCACATATGACAGTCTGGCCTTAAAACTTAGAGCATTATTTCAGTCCCTTCATTTAAAAGCTGTTAATTTTTAGTAGCATATCAACTATGAGGAACAATAACTTCCTCTTTCAAACAACAAGAGGGTTTTGAATATCTCTATTAAGAATGTGAAGAAAAACATCAGGAATGGTGGGAGGTTTTCTTGCTGATTACTTACTTTGTAACTGATCTTGAATTTTTTACAGTTTTTTTGAAACTGCAAATACATGGAAGTAGATAAGACTCAACCCGTGTCCAGACGAGCAGAGGCATGCAGTTTGTGGTACCACAAACGTAATTTGTGGCCCCATAGTTACATGTGTGGAATGTTGAAACTTGTCCTGTGATGCAAATTTGCAGCACAGGGGCAAAATCTGCTTCCGAGATTTGCTGGCCAAAGTGTCTCTGTGCTCCATTTGTGCCCCGGCTGCTCCAGCATGCTGGGAGCCAGGAGGAGCGGGACACGGGCAGTTTGCCCACAGTGAAACAATGCGTTCCTCAACAAAGTGCATGTGCAGGGGCATGCACTCCGGCACAGATTTGTGCTGCTACTGTTTGTGCTGCTGCAAGCGCATTCCCCTACTTGTTTGTATAAGACCTTAAAGAGCATCTTCTTTTATAGAAAATTAAGTGATTGACTTAATTCTTTTGCTCTTTTTCTTCCACCTGTAACTTCTAGGGTTGATCCAGACAGCCCATTACATAGTGATCTTCAGGTCTTAAAAGAAAAAGAAGGTGTAGAATACATTTTGCTCAATTTCTCTTTTAAGGTAAGTGATTATCAGAAGAATACTGGGGTTAAAATTACTATCTCAAAGTAGATACTGGTTTAAATAATCTATAAGCAATGTCTGCTCAGGGGTGATGGTATACTTTTCAAAAAATAATCTAGTAATATAAAAAAAAAACCTTCCATAGCTAATTTTCTGGGCAATTAGTTATTTCTGTATAAATGAGGGATGAATATGTTCAGCTTCCAAAAATCTGTATGGGACTGTGGTCCAAAAGAGGTAGCTGAAATACCCTTCTCGTGGGTACGCATGTTGAAGCTTAGCATTTAAACCTTTGTATCTGTGCTTTTCAGGATAACTTTCCTTTTGATCCTCCCTTTGTGCGAGTGGTGTCTCCTGTGCTTACAGGAGGGTAAGTTTTTTTAAATCCAATCTTTTAAGACCTGTTTTATAGTAGAAACGTCATTGAATGTTCCTTTCTCGTATGGGGAGACGGGGTACTTTTGGAGTTCAGAGTCTTCCCAAAATGCATGTGTTCTAGCAAAACCATGGAGACTGATATCAGGAATTGGTAATTTCCAAGTAGTGACCTCTGTGTTCAACCACACCAACTTTTTCCTGACCCTCCATTATTGTAGGTGTGCAGTAGCACTAAAGGTAACCATTGATGGTTTTAACTCTGAGTCAACCTGCTCTGCAAGATGATGTAATGGTGTTACACTGGCTAATATATGCTGGGCCTCTGGTAACAGGAAGTGTTATGAAAAAGTTTAGCGCAGGTGTAGCCCAAGAGTGTTTTCAACTTAATGACATTCTTGCTCCATAAAGTGATCTCAAAAATATGGTTGCAGTACCTTAGCTGGCATATGTAGCAGAAACGTTGTAGGTATTGGAGGGGAGGCAATAAAATTAATCAATTTGCAGTGCACTCTCATCACCCTCCTAAAATGAGTTCTCAGATACGGGGCTTTTGCTCTTTTTCTTTTTCCCTTCAGAAGTCAGAGCCTGTGGAAATGATGCTTGTTCTGACTTTGTTTTAACCTGTGCCAAACTTAATTTTAATAAATGTTAGATGGTAAATATGCCTACTGCTGTCAGTATGTACATAATATCAGAACAGCACAAAGCAACATTGCTGGGGGAAAAAAAAAGGTTAACAACTCACTGGGCCTGGATATATAATGACTGTTTGCAGAGGAATGTAACACAATTCTAATTCGGAAGTATGTCTGGAATGCCCCCAGTAGTCCAGACTAAGAAGCCATTCTGCATTTTGTGAACTTAACCCACTCCATTACTGGTTCTGTAATGCTCTAACATGTTGTGGATTTCAGATTACTAATAAATGCAGTGTATCTGGGGTCATTTTTGGACCAGAAGTAGCAAAGTATTTTAGGAAAAGCTGAGTTAAGATTAAATATGTCTTTCTCTAGCCTATGTCCTCTGTAGAGCAGAGGGCATTACACACCATTATGAAGTTTTTGGAATTGTTACATTCCTTTATGGAAGTTGCTTTTAAAAACTACATGCAAGTACTACATTCACAAGAGTACTTAGAGAGTATAAACAACTGTGCAGATTAGCTGAATTATTGATTCTTACTAAGCCTTCCCTCATCTGGGCAAAGCAAATTAGTTTCTCTTGTAAGACCTTAATCAGCTCTGTAGATCACCAGTTCCCACCAATTTTATTTATAGCTGTGAAAACAGTATGACAGACTAACTCTGTGCAGCCTAAGATCCTATGACTGTGATATTTTTTTTAATTAACTGATCTCAACAGAGATGATAAAAGTAGTAATTTCACTGCTTCTAATATAGTATTTATTTTTAGGTATGTCCTGGGTGGAGGTGCATTATGCATGGAACTTCTTACTAAACAGGTGACTATAGATTCCATCTTACTTTGTATTCTCAAGAGTAATGGTGAAAGAGCACCTCTTAGTAGGATTAAAAGTGATTTGTGAAACCTGTTAGCATTCTGACTAAAACCATGCTTAAATTCATGGCAACACCTGCTTTTATTATCTTAAAACACTTTAAGAACAAAAGACCAAATCAGACATTCTGGGAAGAGCCTGAACAAGGCCCAAAGATTGGGGTATTTAATTCTGACTTCTCCCTCTATGCTGGGGAGAGATGCCAAAAGGGGAAGACAGAACTGTAGTCCTCTCCTTTTCCCCCCTCCCCTTCAAACTCACATCTCACCTCCTACTCTGGCAGCTGCCCCACAATCTGGACTGGGATGGGTATAAATACTTTGCCACCTGAAGAATGTAGTGACTGATCACTACCTCTTAGAAAAATAATCCCTTGTAAAGTTCCAGCAGAGCGATTCCATTGAACCCTGAAGAGGTGAAACAGTGCCAGAGAGGCAACCATCTTCATGGGAGCAAAACTCTCTCTGCTTGCTTAATTGCTTCACTGAAAAGTGAACTTTAAAAGCTGTAAATGCTATTGTGAAGTTTCTGAAAGTGAGTAGAGAATAGTATAATGTAGTTGTGTTTTTCTTTTGTTTTTGTCTTGCCAGATTCTGGAAATGTGTGCAACTTGGCATTTTCCTTTTTCCTACAAGTTCTTAATGTTAACATGGTTCACTTTAGTTTCTTGTTTTCTGGGTAATAACTAATCGTTTTATAGTTTTTAAAAGCTATTGATGGGTTTGCTAGAGTGCAGCAAAACCAGACATTCTTTGTAAAGTGGATTTGCAAGGTGAGCCTAAGAATCCAAACACGCTTTCTGTAGAAGTATTTCCTTCTTCCTTTAGGGCTGGAGTAGTGCCTATTCAGTAGAATCGGTCATCATGCAGATCAATGCCACTTTAGTCAAAGGAAAAGCCAGAGTACAGTTTGGAGCCAATAAGGTAAATATAAACGGTGCAACTGAAATGATTTTTTGTGAGAGGGTATTCTAGTGTTCTGTTTTAATATTGACTCTTGAAGGAAGACCCAGTATAACCCAGCTCTTCCTTTTCAAGATCCCAAAGTATACTCACATTGGTTTAGTTTCCTGTGCAAAAACATGGGTGTATTCCAGCATCTTATTGGAAAGTTGCTGTTTGGATTTTGCCTAGAAAGCAGTGCATATGAAGGAGACACTTTGAGATTGAAGGGGCTGTAAGCAGGTAAAGTTCATATGCTACCCCCATCCTTGGCATCAGTAACTTTTAATGCAACAAAATATTTTTCCACAATTGTGTATCTGGCTTCCTAGGCTTTCTCCTGCAGGTGCGCTCTGCCCCTGAAGAGGTTGCAACCCTTTGTAAACACTTCTTATAGTTACTTGAACCCATGTTGCCCTTTCCTTATGGAATGATTTGGAGCAGCCATGCATCATCATGCAGGAGTCTAGTTTATGCTCCTCTTTGCAGATGTGTTACTGTGTCAGGGTTAAGTTCTTTCTCATCAGTGTGCCTTGCTTTGTTGGTTTTTTAACCAAGTAAAAAAAAATCCAGACTTTACAAAAATGTAACATAGGGTGGGGGGAAAAGTAAACAAAGTATCACTAAAATGTATCCTAGATTTGTATAGAACTGAGAGAAAGTACTTCTCACCTGACCAAGAAGGGTGTGAATCTTTTCTTTCCTTTTCACTTTTAATTATATAAGCATAAAAAGCTATAGGCCTGAGAAGGACAAGTCAGCTTGCTGGGTAACAGTACTCAAGTTGTGTTGGTTTTTTTCCAAAGGTGACTTAAACAATTAAGTCAATTCAACGTATGCTCCCAAGTCATTTTTTAAAATGGAACTTAGGACTTTGTCACTTAAGTTCTGGACAGGGGGAATTTCCCACCATTTTTAAAAGGGGAAGGAGGGTTGCAGGTTTGGAACATGCATCAACTCTGTGTATGCAGTATAGGCAAGTTAAATCACTGTTGCTTGTAATTGAAACAGTTCAATTTATAATACCCTTTGCTACACCTCTATCACTGTAGGAGCACCCAGCTGTTAGTTATATTGTAACAGTTTATGCCTGTATCTTTTAATAGCAGCATACTCCTTACTTCTGTCCACACCTTTGGCACTGACAATTTTTTACTTGTTGTCTTTCCTTATCTTGCGGTAGAGAACTCTAAAATTGATTACTTCCCTAAAGTCAAGTGGAGTTTTATGCTCCAACACCTTTAGCCTGAAAAGCTCCAAATTGTAGCACAGCCCTCCAAAGCATTTCAAATTGAGACTCGCCTGATGTTGGAGGCCCTTCTGACACTAAGTGTGTACAAGTTATTTCATCTCTACCTCAGTCTGTCCCATTTTAGTTGTGCAGGAAGTGATTCCTGTTTTAGGAGCAGGGATCTAGTATTGCAAGCTTGATTTAGATTGTTTGAGAGTAAGGATCTTCAGTGATGTGTGTAAGGTAGATTTATTGTGACGTCTGTTTGGGTTTTGTTTGTTTGGGGTTTTTTTTGGGGGGGGGGGAGTTCCCCCTGCCAAGCCCCTGAGTATTTAACAGATTAATTTATTTTTCTGTCTCTACTATTTGCTGGATTTGACATTATGGAATCATTCTGTTGGTTTTTTTTTTTACTTTTATGTCTGCCTTAAGCCTCAGTGTATACACTGTCATTTGAAATGATAGAAAATTAGGGCTGGAAGGGACCTCAGGAGGTCTAGTCCAACCCCCTGCTCAAAGCAGGACCATCCCCAACTAGATCATCCTGGCCAAAG